CACTGCAGGGCCAAGGGCACAGCTGGGCACAGGGCTGGCATGGACAGACACGACCGTGACTCACCACATCCACCTGGTTGGCAATTTCCAGGGTCCGGGTGTGAACGCGTTGTAGGCTGGGGTAATTCTGGAACTGGGGAAACAGGGAGAGGGGTCAGAGGGGTGGCTGTGGGAAGGGCAGCCCCTGCTGTGGGGACACTGCCCAGCACTCACCGCAGCGTGGTCCACCACCATCACCAGCTCCACAAAGCGCTGCTCTGCCGCTGCCCGCTTGCCCTGGGGACAGAGAGGGGTCAGAGTGCTGATACACGGACACTCTGTGGGGCAAGACCCCTGGGTGACCTACCCTCTGTGGCCAGGGGGGCTCTGTTGCCTCTGCCCCAGGCTGGGAGCCCTGCCTGCAGCTCTGTGGCTCCAGCCGAAGCCGGGATGCCAAGTGCTGCCCTGGGCTGCTGCTGTCTGGCTCCAGTGTGTAGCTCCTGGTGTCCGACAGCCAGAGGCGGCCACTGGGGAAGGACAGAGGAGCTGGGATATGGAGCCCATCCCACCATCAGCACAGTGGGAGTGGGTTCATGGACCACTGGGCTTGGGGGCTCACCTGAGTCCAGCACAGGCACAGAGGTTGGCCCAGGAGTCAGGGAAGCCCTGCACTGTCCCCTGGTAGCAGCAGTGCTCCTGCAGCAGAGAAGCAGGCTCAGGATCCATCCCAGGCTGGGGGGACAGGGGTGTGACAGCCCCCAGCTTGGGGACAGCACAGGTGACAGCCATGCTGGAGGCCATACCTGCTCTCTGGGCTCCTGGATCACCCGTGTGCCATCAGGCAGGTAATAGAGCAGCGCTCCAGTGCCCTGCACCAGCTCCCTGCCAGAGACTCATGTCACCCACAGCAGGAACCCCCAGCTCACCCTGCCCTGAGCACACCCCGGCAGGAAGGGAGGACTCAGCACCTCCCATGTCCCTGCTGTGGGTGCACCCTGGGGCCCCCACCCCATCTATGCATGGATGGAGACAGGGAATAAGGGACCCCCACTCTAAGTGCACCATGGACAGAGGCAGAGCCCCAGGGTCCCAGCAGGACCCCCACCCCTCCACAGGTCCAGGAACTCCATCCCACGCCTCGCTGCTGCCCCCAGAACCACAGACTCACCAGTTCTGCTCCAGCTCCANGCCCACAGCCGCTCCCCAGCCCCGCACTCACCCCGTGCCCATGGCATTTGCTCTGGCACTGCTGGTCACCCAGCACGGAGATGTCCTGGCACCGGTGCTGGAGGCACATCTGTGGGGCATGGGGTGTCAGCACTGTGAGACTCCCCCTGCTCCCTTCCCTGTCACCCCACTGCTCACCTTCCCAGGGCCACAGGTGGTGCCAGGCAGCACCATGGCCGCATCTGTCACATCCTCATCCCCGGGCAGGGTGGTGCCCTGGCAGGACCCTTCTGGGCTGTTCCCACGGGAACTGCTGCGCTGGCACTGCAGCATCCCACAGCTGGTGTCCCTGCAGGGACAGAGGGGTCAGGGCAGGGGGCATGGCAAGAGGACATGGAGAAGGACAGGGACCTCACTCACTGCTGGGTGCAAGTGACATAGGAGCCGTTGGGGAGCTGCCCACAGTGCCCACGTTCATCCCCTCTGGTGTTCAGGGCTGCCATGCAGGAGCTGGAGACAGGACTGGCACCTGCAGCAGGGGCAGAGACCCTCAGCACCCCTACCTAGCTGCCAGCACCCCACCCCGGCCCTGCTCTACCTACCTGGCCCCAGCAGCTGCTGGCACTGCCCCTCGTAGGTGGCACAGGCCCCGCTGTAGCAGCGTGCCCGCCCGCTGGCACAGGGCTGCCCGTCCTGCAGGAACGTGTCAGGGGGGCAGCGCCGTGAGACCCCGTCACAGAACTCGGGCAGGTCACACTCGCCCAGCGGCTCCCGACACACGTGGCCAGCACGGCGCAGCTGTGGGGGGACATGGTCAGAAAAACGGGGTGAATGGGGGGACAGGGTCAGATAAATGGGGTGAGTGAGGAACATGGTCAGATAAATGGGGTGAATGGCGGGACATGGTCAGATAAACTGGGTGAGTGGGGGGACATGGTCAGAGAAATGGGGTGAGTTGGGGGGACACAGTCAGATAAACATGGTGAGTGGGGAACATAGTCAGATAAAGGGGGTGAGTGAGGGGACATGGTCAGATAAACAGGGTGAGTGAGGGGGATATGGTCAGATAAATGAGGTAGGTGGGGGACTCGCCCACCACGGAGAGTGGCTGGTGTGCCCATGGCACAGGTGCCCATCCCCACACACCTGGCAGTCCTCACAGCAGGCATCCTCGGTGGCACACACGGCCCCTGGCATCAGCTGGCAGGAGCTGCTGTTGCAGCAAGGATCGGTGCATTCCTGAGGCGGGGAGGCTGCAGTCAGTGCGTGCCACCAGCACCCAGCACTGGGCACTGGAAACCACCCTGCCAGCCCCAGACACCCCAGGGCAAAGCCATGGAGAAATGGGGTGGCTTCAGGGCTTCAGGCCTACCCAGAGCCCCCCGTACCACACTGAGGCCGCAGTCGCATTCCTCGCCCAGCTCTACGAAGCGATTCCCGCAGGTGGGGCTCCCGGTCAGGACCTGGGGCTCGGGGACATTGGACAGGCACCAGCCCTGGCCCTGCTGCAGGCTGCGCTCCAGGTCCTGCCGGCTGCAGTTGCTGAAGCTCAAGCCAGGTGTCAACCTGCAGAGGCAGGAAGGGCCGGTGAGGTGAGGTGAGGAAGGGGCTTGGCCCCAGCTCCCCGAAGGGCTGCCCGCTGCCATCACCCTGTGGGTGGTGCCATGATGCAGCCGCGGTCGTGCCGGAGGTCGCCGCAGTCGCAGAGGCGCCCGGCGCTGTCGTGGCGCATGCCCAGGTTGTGCCCCAGCTGATGGGCCACAGTGGAGGCCACGACGAGGACGCTGACAGAGTGATCCTGTGGGACAGCAGGGTCAGGGAGGGCAGCTGGTGGGAGGATGGGGTGGGGGGACAGAGGTACTGACCATGCTGACCCCCCCAGAGCGCGTGGGGGAACACATGGAAGCTTGAGTCGACATCCCCACAGAGACATCATCGAAGTGGGCACCCCTGGGGACAGAGCACAGCACGTTGGGGGACTGCCATGGCCTCGT